ACACTTTGCAAGTCAAACTGTGCTTTCAAAACCCAACATGTGAAGTCATTTCGCACGTGTCTGTTGGTTTATCTGTGTGCTTTCAATTACAGCGATGGCCTCTATTAGTCATCACGTTTCTGAGGAGAAAAACAGACCGATAGTTTACGGAAAAGTTGAGCACTACCAGAATGCAGCTATCACATTCATTCTTCTGTTATTGAGTAAGACGAGGCCTAGAGGTATATCGTTTGAATGACAGCCAATCATGCAAACAAACAAGCCCTTTAAAAGAGCTATTGCCGCAATGTTTTCTGATGCCCTTGGAGAACTAATGCTTGAAGGAGTTTCAATTTCTTTTGAACACAAGTATGATAGCAAAATAAGCATTTTTTCAATACCGAGGTCACAGTGCGTCTCATATCTTTTGTTGTTGATCTGTCCAGACTAAGGGTCTCATTCTCTGAACCACCTGTGCTGAAAATCAAGTTTTTAATGTAGTTTATATGTCTGTTTGGTGATTTTAAATGTGCCTTAAAAGGGTAGTTCACATAATTTACTCACCCCCATGTCATCCAAGATATCCATGTCTTTCTTTCTTCAGTCGAAAAGAAATTAAGGTTTTTGATGAAAACATATAATGGACTTCATTGGGCACCAAACGGTTCAAGGTCCAAATGAGAGTTTCAGTGCAGCTTCAAAGGGCTTTAAACGACACCAGATGATGAAGTTTTATAAGCACAAATGCTCGCCTTGCTCTGGTCTGTGAAGCACTTGTTTGAACTTGTTCATCAAAATGAACGAATCTTTTTTCGAGTCATTTGGTTAATTTTAATGAACGAAATGACTCGAAAAAAGATTTGTTCATTTTGATGAACGAGTTCGAATAGGAGAGTTTAGCTGTTTGAAACGTAGCCAAGCCAAAGGCTAATCATATTAATTATCACGGTTCCCCTGCATCATTGAAGTTTTGGGGAATTGAGAAAATTACACCCCCTCCCAGAGGTGGTGATATTATCAATAAACTTCTATGCAGGGAAGCGTTTTGGATTCATACACTTAACACTGTTGAACCACTAGGTCTAAACGAAGAATTGAGTTAATCATGCTTTCTCTAAACATTTACGCATATTAAAATACATTATGTGAGATGAATATACTTCGATTCCCAGTGTATTGTGAACATTTTATGCTTGTTACCTGTGTGTGGGCACTTGCTCTTTAATGACTGATTTGTGAACGTGGCACTTTGGTTTAGATGGGTGGGTTTTTACGCACAATCACACCTGTTGATGATCCTTGCCCATTCTCTCCAAGGACTCCAAGGATGAAGATGCAACAAAATTTAAACTTTAGTCACTGTTATGCACCTTATTAAATTAATAAGTATTAAATTAATAAAATTATTATTAAGAAGGCATCTGCGTTGCACCAGCGATTCTTCCTTTTCTGTCATATTAATTACTGTTATGTGTCTGACATTGTAGAGAGCAATAAATATATATACTATTCTGTATACTAATATACTATTCTATACTATTCTGATTCATTTTGTAAAATCCATATCTAAAGAGTATTAGAGCATGTCTGAGGATAACCAGCTATGGTTGAACTCATAAGCATACAACATATCATTTCGAGTGAAAAAACAAAGAGAAAATCCAAGTGTGAAGAAAGGCTGTAAAGGAAAGGTTGTGCAGGAAGTCTTTATTTGGAGATGGTTTGGACATATTTTGTGCAAATTAATAACTTTGGGCACGCAGTCCCTCATTAAGAATACTTCAAATTCATTATTAGAATAATTCTAATGAATGAGAAGTAATATCTGTCACTTTATGCAGCCAAATAAGGCAGATTCTGGCATGGGCAGGTTGTGAGACATTACTTCATCCACACAAATTTTTTTAAAAGACATTTTTAGTTTACTTGTGATTTTGGTCTTTGGTACTCTGTACTTGTGATTTTGGACTTTGGTACTCTGTCTTTGATGTCCCAGTTCAGTAAAATATAGTTTGTTTGTAATTTGTAGGTGTTGGTCCAAGCCCTTTATAATGGCCATGACCCAGTAGAGTAAAACTGACATGTCAAGGCCCGTTATCCAAACCAGCTCTGGCCTAAAAATGAACTATTCTCTTTCTTTTGCATCACTGCAGATTGGAGAGTGATTCAGTGTCAGGCTCCAATGTCTAACATTTGTTTTGTTAAAACCCACAGATGATCTCAGATAATGCAACAATTTCTGCAGGTATTTCACGTTAGGAACTGCACGTGGGCTTTCTTTTCCCGCCCAGTGCCAGAAACAAAGAAGCAGCGTAACGTAGTCCTGTTTGTTTTGACACTCACTCACTTGTGAGGACTAGTGTCTATTACTGTATATGTCTTATGTTACGCAGTAAGGACATGTTTTCAGGAATCTGGTTTCTAAAATGTTCTAATTCATCAGCATTTACGGAACAAGTTTCAGTTTCTTTTCTTGAAAGTTCAATGGAAGTTCAGCACATTGATTTGATTCATTACCGTAGATCTGAATCTTCAGGTTTATCTGTCGAATGGGACTAATATGAACGTTTTAAACTATTATATACTGTTGAAAGTACATGAACCTCTAATACAGCACATTTAATTATCCCTTAATTCCCCCAAATAGCTGCTGAATCCAGAATAGTCAGCTCATACAAACACTTTGGAAAAATGCAGCCTTAAACATTGCACTTCACTAAAAATAAAAAAGAACGCCAGTTCTTCCACAGAAGAAAGAAAGTCATACACATTTGGAATGACATAACAAGAGTGAGTAAATGACACAATTTTAATTTGGGGGTGAACAATCCCTTTTACCATTGTTTACTGAAATTCCAAATGTCTTACTTGCTAATGGGGGTTGCTAATCTTACTTGCTAATGAGCAACAAACTTATGTAAAATAGGTTGCATCACTTCTGTTTCAGGGGCCGTATGTATAAAGAGTCAAATTTTACTCTTCTGAAGAGTTATGAAGTTCTGAAGACGAAAAGGGGTCAAGGGGTCACAGTTTTAGTATGGTATTCCTAATAATCCTTTAGGTGAGTGTAGAACATACTTTTTTAATGGCCGCACATGAAGAACTTCACTAAAGAAATTCTAGAAATTCACCAGTCAAATTGAACCAATTAAAGGAGAAAATGAGCTCAGAAGTGACTGCTCAGTACCATATGTCGGTCTCCCTACACTCTAACTTACTGTATATATAACTAATAAACTAATAATTGTTTAGTTAAATCAAATTATTTTTGGTATTAAATATATTATTTTTTATAATAAATTGTAAACTTATAAACAGTTAAAATTGTTTAAATTGTTTTATATTGGGCAGTCCTTTTTGATTTGATTACATCAATTTATTTATTATTACTTTTATCATTACATTAGAAGGCTATGCAGTGTAGTTTTTTTGTTTTGTTTTGTTTTTGTGAAAGGAAAAAATAAATAGGGAAAATACGTTTTGCTGACTGTTGAAATTGGGTGGTTACTACACTCCATAAAAGTGGAAAAAAAGTCCCAAAGTAAAATAAAAGGCTATTTGTTCCTTTTATAATGCTTCTCTTTCACATATGACTTCTTGCACTAACCTTCATGTCACTACCAGTCACCTTCTGCTCTTCTCGGATCCTCCTGCTCTCTCTCATGTTCACCTCCTTGCTGTGGATAACATCACAATAGATAGGGATAGATCTTTGAACAATTTTGGTTTGAAAAGATGAAATGAGAAAGCCTATCCAAATTTCTGAAAAGTCATCTCAAGAAAGTCATAGGGTCGGTTTACACACACTGTTTTCATTTACATGACAACAGCGCTTTGGAGGCCTGAAAACACAGTTTGAAGCGGGGTTTTTTGAAAACTAAAACTACTATTGTTTACTATCTACTACGTGACTAAACTACTATTGTTTACTATCTACTACATGTAAAACTAATTAACGTTACAAAACGCGAATTTGTGAAAACGGTGATGTCGTGCATATGGCGCATAGTGCCATTTCTTTAGAAATTGTCCATTGCCAACTATTGTAACACGCGAGCCAACCACTGTCATCCGGTTTAAATGCACTACAATGAAAAGTATGCTAAATAATGTTACTTACTATTGTAATTCTGTCACAGAATTTGATCGTGTGCAGTGATGTGAATGGTAACTGAATGCGGCCCTGACCAAAATCACGTAGCAGCTGCTAACGTTACGAAGTCTTGAAAGGATAAGTTAGTATGTTACAAGAAAAATGCTGCTGTTCGAAATATCTAACATTACAGCCACTCAGAAGGCACGAGGTAAAAAAAGTAATAAAATAAACAGTAACTTACATTGTATCAGTTCGGTTTTTTATTTTATTTTTACTCCGCCAACGAAAATAGTTCTATTAACCGTCGTCGAATGTGGTTGAGCAACTGTGGAGATTTGTTCCTGAATGAATCAGTGTTCGAGCGAATCGGTGGAATGAATGATTCAATGATTCGCTTATAAAGACCGTCACATATCTCTCCCTACTGGAGTATCGATGTAACTTGCAGACCGTCCACCTTCAGCCAGTTTACCTCAATATTACTGCAGACTGACCGTCTCTCTGTCTGGAACGGGCTAACAGAAAAGCAGAGTGATACAATTTGATTGTTTTAATAACGTGCCTGGTTTACAAAATGCTCTATCAGACTACTTTGACAGTTTGACTTTCCAACATCAGTGTCTTTTATATTGACATTGCTGTGTTTTATAAAAACAACCAACCAGGCAAGGCCTAGTAAATTTTTTTTAAAATAAATTTTAAAAAATGATATACATTCAAAAGAAAAGGTACAAAAAAATAGTAAAATACTACAATTTAAAAATATACTGTGGCCAAAAACAGTAGTTAGTAACACCAAGGTCATGGGTTTGATTTCCAGAAAAAGTATGAACTGATACAAAAGAATAGCCTACCTTATGCAAAGCACGTAAAAAAAAATACTTTGGTTGATAGATTCTTTATTAAAGACAAAATGAACAACCCATCATGAACTACATAGTTTTATTTTATATATTTCAAACAAGCTTAAGCGAAAGGTTAAAAAGCAAAGAAAAATCAAGGCTAAATGCACTGCTAAGAGTATCACAGTATCACATTTATTTATCTTTTGTCCATTGGTGGCTCTTATGTGCAGAAACAGTGTGTATGAATGGGTCATCTGAGTGAATCTGTGTGTCAACAGGGACATCTAGAGGACACAGCAGGAATATGTGAATCTGCTGCCTCTGAGCAATTTTCCAAACTCAAAAATACACCTGGAATTACTAAAGTTAAATGATATGTTAACATTGTTTTAACAAGTATAAAAATTGCGGATGTCGTTTTCTACATTAACAAACGCAATCAACTTAATTTCTCTGTTCATGTTCCACCTACTGTTAAATACTGTTCATGACATGAGTGTTGATGTGCCTTTAAGATGACTTCTTCTAGGTTATTGTACAGGTAGAGAGAGGGCTTGAGTAAAGAGAGAGATGGCCGCTCTACCGCTAACTTTTAATGTGTTAATTTCTACTTGTTTATCAGAGTGCTTTCTTTTCCTGTTTTACTCGCTCTTTTACATGTATGTGAAGAGTGTGCTTGTGCAAACCATCTATAAAGACTCGTGGGACAACCAGTTTGTTTGCTTCCTGTTTTCCATTTTCATCTGAGCAGACTTCAAACCCTCTGACAGACGTCACAAAGCACATGATTGATAAACGGTTGAATAAAAATAAAAAATAAAATCACTGACAACAGATTTAACCAGTAACATAAGATCAGGATGAGGGCAAATAAAAAATAAATAAATACACAAATAAAGGAAATGGATGTATTAGGTGTTACTCTCCATCCCATTCTTGATTCTTGTTCTCCTGCCAAATCTTCTCCATCTGATCCAGCTCTGTATCGGTGAACGCTGCCTGTCCCCAGTTGGTCACTTTACAGGGTGACTTGTTGCCTGAGAAATACATGAAAAACATAAAGTGGTGCTTTTGGTAAGGGTATCTGGTATTGGAGAAACTTCACACTCGCTCACCTGGTTGAACGATTCGAAGGAGGCCTTCGTGTTTAGAGACCTTGTGTTTCCAAGTCTTTGTCTTGTTACTTGCCCGTTCCAGTTTCTTCGTAACAGCCTGAAAAGTCAATAAAGGTCAATGAAATCCTGATCATGTACTTTATGTTAAAAAATGAAACTAAAAGTGGAAACAACAAGCAATGTCTGTTCTGTTTGATAATAGCAGTGGTTTTCATTCTTCTCATCCCTTTTGACTCCGAGGCCACAACAAAATTTGAAGCCCCTAAGCCCCCTAAGTAACGAAAATAATTATTCATTTAGCTAAATTGTTCTTCAGGGTCCCCACTATTTATACCCAATGAATCTGACTTTTCCAGTCATTCGTGATTACACGATCATCAGATAAGGATAAGGAAAATTCTCAAAATATTTTAGAAAAATGAATATTCCATATAAAACGCTCAAGGCATTTTAATATTTTATTAATTGATACGACTTTTCCAACTCTAGAAATACACCTATTACACACAATTAAAATCAGATGTTCTTCTCATATATCCAGCTTTTTCACGGCAGTGGAAATCTTCACTGGTTTCGTCAAAAAATGAGTTCTAGTTGTTGAGGGGTGAAATAAAATAAGAATTATCTTGATATTTAATAGTTTTAGCTTATTTTAAAGCGTGTTTTGTCTTGTTTTAAATAATTTTAAAGGTTAATTAAAAAAGTTAATTATTTGTTTATTAGAATAGGCAACGCTTTTAACACATTATTTTTACTCTATTCCCAGTCTGTCTGAAACGTGTTGATTTCTACAAAGCCCCTCCTTGCAAAAAGCTCAGAGTGCTCTGATTGGCCAGATGACCAAGTGATTTGTGATTGGCCAAACACCTCAAGCGTTGGTTGGAAACATAACATACCTTACCATAAGCAATTGTAAACACAGTTAATAATATTATCGTTTTATCGTGTAAGTTCAGATTTTGAAAATGCAGATAATCAAGCCGATCGATCGGAACTAACTTCGCAAGCACAACTTGAGCAGGTCGTTTCACAGTGATAAGCAGTCGTTGTGCTGTCCTCTGTAAAATGTGCTGTGCATAAGCAAACTTTTGGGTTGAACTTCTCGGGAACAGCTTTATAAGTTAATCTTAACCTAAATTATTAATTTTCGGAAGGCCAAACGAAGCAGATTTGCTTTCTCACCAAAACACACAGCGTCTCCGAGACATGACGACAACCCTTCAATTCACTAAAGCCTTGCCTCTTTCTTTGCATATGCCTTTTGGCGGTCATTATGCTAATATTTCACATTGTGACATAGCCTTTAAAGCATCATGTAACCCCTTTAAAACTTGGAAGTTTGCTGACGCCCCCTAGTGGACCCCTGGTTGAGAACCACAGAGCTAGAGAGTAAAAGAAGCTAAACATGTTGTCAAAGAAAAATACTCTAGAAAAGGAGAATGTTAGTTCGATAAAGCGAACATAAAAAATCCCCAATCGTTAAAAAATCCGCTACCTTGTATTCATCTTGCGCCCCCTGCCTCTTTTGTTTAAGGCTCTCCAGCTGCTCCAGTGCCGCCTGCAGGGCGCGTTCCTTCTCCGCCTTCTCTTTTTCCAGCTCTATTTTCTCTTTCTGGGACTGGGATAAGACCTCTTTCTGCTGCTGGTGAATCTGCTCTAATTCTGTCCTCTTGTTTGCCTCCTCTTCTAACAGCCTGCAAAACAAAACACACACATGTTCTGCATAATTCTGTGGCCTTTCTGTGCACACTGAATCTGGACGTCGGGTGTTTGCGCACTGTTACCTGGCCTGCAGTTTGCGCAAGACTTCTTCATCCTCTTTGGCCTGCCTCTCATCGTCTAGTGCCTGTTTCAGCTGACGGTACATGTCTTCCAGTTCCTGCATTCGCTGCCAGTACTGCTCCACTTCACTGGACTTTTCAACCACCTGCTCCTCCATCTGCATTCGAGCCTAGGAAGACATTTTAAATGCATACATCAGACCTGTTTCACACATTATATATGCATATATGGCACGGAAGAGCAATTTTATTGTGCATTCTTGCACAATAAGATCAGAAAAGAACTGCATTTCTATACAATAATTTAGCCATTATTTTTTCTTTCTTTTCTTAAAAAAGGTGCTGAACATTTGCTGTACATTAACAAATTAAATTAATCACAACGATTTATACATACTCCCTTTAAATTAAGGGTGTCAATTGATTAAAATTAATAAAGTCACCTTAAAATCAAAGTTGACTTTTTTATATACATATTTTGCAGTATTTGTTATAAAACATTTATCATTGCACAACATTTTTTTTATTCATAATATTTAATCAAAATAACTTCCCCTCCCTCTTCTCTTCTCTGATGATGCGTTTATTAAAGCAAGGGGAGGCAACCTGTCACTCACATGAGATTGACCAATAGCATCCAATCAATTGGACAAAATCAAGTCCCGCCCTACATTTGTTCTTGTTCAGTTTCACTCAGATATACGACACAAATGAGAAAAAAATTAACGAAACTTCTGTTTCATGCCGACTGCATGTCCGTGTGTTTAATTAATTAAAGGAGAGATGTAACACCGATTTTACGTAACATGTGTGGCTCAAATGAATTAAAAATAAATAATAATTTTGGCAGAAAGAAAACAATTTATGAACAGATAGTCACTTTTAAAACAACTTTTGCTGATAATTTACTCACCCCCATGTCATCCAAGATGTCCATGTCATTCTTACTTCAGTCGAAAAGAAATTAAGGTTTTTAATGAAAACATTCCAGCATTTTCTCCACATAATGGACTTCAATGGGAACCAAACGGTTCAAGGTCCAAAAGACACTTTCAGTGCAAACTGCAAACTGTTCAAAGGGCTTTAAACGATTCAAGACGATGAATAAGGGTCTTATCAAGTGAAACGATCGCTCATTTAAAAAAAAACAAAGTTTATGTTTTATAAGCTCAAATGCTCGCTTTGCTCTGTTCTGTGATGCGCGTTTGTGACTCTCCTGTTCAAACTCGTTCATCAAAATGATTGAATCTTTTCCCGAGTCAATTCATTCATTTCATTTGTTGAATGAACCAAATGACACGAAAAAAGATTTGTTTATTTTGATAAACGAGTTCAAACAGGAGAGTCACGAACGTGCATCACAGAACAGAGCAAGGCGAGCGTTTGAGCTTATAAAACTTAAACTTTTTTTTTTTTTTTTTTTTTAAATGAGTGATCGTTTCGCTTGATAAGACCCTTATTTATTGTCTGGAATCGTTTAAAGCCCTTTAAACAGTTTTTACTGAAACTGTCTTTTGGACCGTGAACCGTTTGGTTCCCATTGAAGTCCATTATATGGAGAAAAAAATCCTGAAATGTTTTCATCAAAAACATTAATTTCTTTTCGACTGAAGAAAGAAAAACATGGACATCTTGGATGACATCGGGGTGAAAAGGTTTTTTTTTTTTTTTTAAGTGAACTACTCCTTTAAAAGTGTAGGCCTCTTACACTTCCAAAATTATGGCATCCGGCAAAATGAACACCTAAAAGCAACCTGGTGACCTCCATCAATAAAATCACTGTCATTGTGAAAAAGACATAAGGTTGTTGTAATCACCATTTTCTCCTGCTCCAGGTCTTGTCTGTATCGGTCCAGTAATTCTGTCTGGGTCTGAAGTCTTCTCTGTTCCACCAAATCACCCCGGATTGACGTGTCCTGCAGGTCCTGAAACATCCACACAAAATGAAAGCAATGACTAAGGCTTCTGTGAGCCAGAAAGAGAGAAACACAGAAAATAACAACTAGCCTTCAGTCACTGTATAATGAATAAAAGAAAGTTCCATTTTCAATCAACGGCAGCCATTAATTTCAACAAAATCACTTCAGTTCATCCCACAATTTGTAAAAAACAAATACACGTTTACAATAATAATGCACTTACAGTACAAGCATTCAGAACCACTTTGTGCAACTTGATAATGTTATTCGTATATTAAAAAAAGTGTGTGTGGGACTACTTTTCTAGATCCACGGATTTAAGTTTGGTTATGCATTTTTGCATTATCACAGCGTGTATTGTGCAAAAGTTTTCAAGTTTAACGGCCTTGCATGCTTGACAGGAGTTAACATTCAAACTAGTCTCATGCAGCCAAGTAGTAATCATATTTCCTGCTTCATAGACGATAAAGTATGAAACAATCCCTTGAGATCGAAGATATAAAACAGGAACTGGTAAAAGTCAAAACACCCATACACAGGAAGTGTGGCTTCATTGCTCAGGAGTTCTCTTTTGCAGATGTCCTAAAATATGAGTGTTTTTAAGCTATATTTTGGGCCTTTTTTGCTTATACATGACAGGACAGTTGGGGTTGTCGCCCGCGTTGCTGTTGCACTATATGTCAGAGGTCGATCTACAAGATTATGGCTCCGACAGTAAAATAAAAATGTCCTAAAAATATCTTCACATTTATCAGCTTCAGTTTAGAGATGAGAGTAGGTTCAGTAGCTTTCTCTTCATGGTCGAACAGGATTACAAGAGCCAGACGTTTAACATGGAACTTAATAAAACGTTTAACACGAAGAAAAAAACAGACAAGGATGTGAAACTTTCTTCACATATTATTACTAATAGTGTGCTATAAACAGAAGCAATGTAGGCAAATAAAAATGAGTCAAAGGGGGATGTGAAGGTAAAAGGTGCATAAAAAGAAAAGGGTATTCAAATTGACACCTTGACATAAACCAATACATCATATAACCTGTCAGTGTCTTTGTCAACTTGACATTACTAAGACAACACAACCTGTCATAAACATGATTAATTATCAAACTTAAGAAACCACCTAGCTTTATTGGTTAACATTACATTAAACTGTCAGGTGGTTGGTTTTGACATTGGCTGTCATGAAGCGATTATAACTTTTTAATGACAAATTCAATCAGTACCACTGTAGTTGAGGTCACGAAAAATATTCATGACACAGTTATAATGCCTCAGGACAGTTTAACTTAACTTAATGTACAGTAAAGTTGTCATGACAAAGACACTGACAGGTTATGTTGTTATGGTTTATGTCGAGATATCATAACAAAGACATCTTAAACAATGTCATATTTGCATTCAAAATGTCATTATTGAGCGTTATTAATGACAATTGTTATAAACATGCATAAACCTTACTTCATATTCAAGACATATGTCATGTCATGGTTATGAGGGTGTCATGTCAGTCTTATGCACATCCCTTCAAGTAAAGTGTCACCATTTATATAAAACGATGTAACGACGATCATGCTGATCCACGCCGAAAGATGGCCTTGTGGTATCGGTACAAATTACTCAGAGAAAGGAAATGCTACCGTTAGCTAAAGAATTACTGAATACACGTTTAATCCAACATCTCCAACAGAGATTCTACTAAATCTAAGGCATTTTGCCGGTGGCTTATGGTTGTATCTTTCAATGATTCAAGGAAGGCCACAATACCTTACTCATGGCCTCCAGCTGGGCCTGTTTGCTCTCGTTGGCCAACTGCAGCTGTCTCATTCGGTTCTCAATGATCTCCTGTTCAGCTTTCATCCTGTTTCTCAGCTCCCTGCGTTTCTGCCTGGATTCTCGGTGTGCAGAGGAAAGGCCTTGCCTTATGCGGACAATGCAGTCCTGGATGGCTATCATATTACACATGAACAAAAACTTACTCAGCAGGAGATTGTGGATATACAGTACAAAAATGTCAATGTCATCAGTGTAAAATTTGTGTGAGCAGTTATGATATGCGATACCGTGAATCCACTCCTGTTTTGTCTTTTTATCCGATGCACTGATCTCAAAACTTTTCTCAACACATCTGATAATGAAGAGGTTTTTCCTTCCGTCCTTGTCTGGTAAGGACTGCAAAGACAAAGCAATTTAGACATTTGAAGGGATAGTTCTCCCAAAAGTCATTTCATCATTTATTCACCATTATATTGTTCCAAACCTGTATATTGTCCAGCCATAGCAATCCATTCAGAAGAATATTTAAATGTAACACACCATGTGATCAGAAAGCATTGGGATACATTGGGATATACCTTTAAACTTCAACTCTGAACAACAAATACTTAAAAAAAAATGTATTAGCTTTTACCTCGACACAGCAGTTGCGATCAAGCGAAATACATCCCTTCTGCTCTGTTAGGTCTTCACTCACATAATAGGATATGTGGTTGAGATGAAGCTTAAACCATCGCTCTGTCCAGTTCTTCCTTTTGTGGCCTTTTTTCATCAAATAGCCCTTTTTGAATAAAAAATATACCAAGTTAATGATTTGTCAGGGATATCTGTTTATTTCTCTATTATACCATGGTCTGGGTGAATACTCGATTCTGACTGGCTACAGGCTGTCCATTAAAATGTGATCGAGGACAAAGGAGTTCTGGTGAAACTGACTGTTTGCTTTTCGAAATTAATTAATAAATGCGTTGGGCTGGCTACATCAGCAGTGAGTAACCATAGCAACAGGCAATCAAAGTATCCGTTTACAATTTATTGTATCAAAACAAACATCTAGTTAGCCGTTATACTATGCCTACCTGTGTGTTTTAATTATAGGTTAAAAAAACGAAAGTGTAACGACCATGGCTTGGCTAGACAAGCCTAACTTACATGAAAAAAAAGTTAACTTTCTGGCTCGTAAGTTAGCTAAACTGAAGGGTTCTAGAGCTGAGCGGACTCAGCGGTTGCTAAATAAATGAGATGGTCCTCCTCACTGCAGAACATGAAATCCACGGGGAGGAGTCCAACTCCTCCCACCTTACATATACCTAAACCTACCCAGCTCCACCCCCTGATCCCTAAACCCACCCCTAAACCTACCCAACTCCACCCCTCAGATCTGGATCTGACTCCGCCCCCTGGATCTTGTGTACCGCCATGAGGTGCTACTGAAATAAACCGTCAGGCGTAACCAGGGAAACCATGTTATTGTTAGTAAAAACTTTCGATTTCCATTGTAAAACTAATTAAAATATAAACTAATGTTTCAAAAATCTGTTTTTTGGCAAGTGATCATGGTATAAGCGGGTTAATGCCGTTCGAGGTGTCCATGGACTTCGGCGGACGCAACCGTCAAATTGTCGTGCATTAACCGTTACATGTTCATTGCAGTGGTCTTTGCACAGCTAATTTAACTGACAACACCTGACTATCATGTAAAGACAAGAGCAGACCGGGAATAACCCACCTGCTTAATAACATCCAGAACAATTTCCTGACAGACCTCATTGATGCCCATGGAGAGAGTCTGAGGGTTTATGCCCTTGGTGAAATGGCCTAAGCCAATAAGCTCAATCAGTTCCCACACATTTAGATGTTGTTTCTTTGGGCTGAGCTGCATTTTGTAGTCTTCAAATCTGCCTTCGTTCCAAATGCAACCCATTGCTGCAAGCAGCTTGTGCAGGAAGTACTCAAGCTGTTACAATGCAGAAATACCTCATTATTTACATATAATTACAAGGAATCCTAAGATTAAAAATAACTAGAACCAACCTCCTCTGTGACAATGTGCAGTGGATATTTATCTTCAGACAGGAAGTTGAAGATACACCACACCTTGAAGGCATCATCGTCTGAGATGAGCAGATTCTTGCTGCTGATGTGTTTTGATGCAGACAGAGTCCAGCACATCTTATTCAGCTCCATGAAGTCAAAGTTGGGCTGGATCTGCCATTAAAATATTAAAAATGACTCAAATCTAATTTAGGGCAACAGTGTCATATCTTTTCTGCAGAATTCTATGGCAAGCCATTTTAACTTTTATTCATTTCCAGGATCTGAATTCTTGATATCAACAATTCAGTTGTTGATATCAAGAATTTAATTGCAGATATCTGTAATTGTATTTTCACTAGTGAAATTTCACCATAGGTTGCCATTCAAAATCAATTGTTGACATCAAGAATTTGATTTTTTACTAGTAGAAATATCATTTTTGATATTAATAATTACACTGTTACTAGTAAAAATGTAAATTCCTGATATCAATAATTAAATTGTCACTAGTCTTGATATAAACAATTCAATCGCTACTAGTAACAATGTTCATTTTTGATATCAAAAATTTAATTTTTACTAGTGACAATTTCTGATATAATGAATGTAAATGTTACTAGTAAGAAAGCTTTAGATCAGAAATACATTCAGAAATACTTTTTCAGATATCAAAAATGATTTTTTTTTTTTTTTTTTTACTAATATCAATTCAATAGTTAATATGTGGAATTGAATTGTTGATGTCAAGAATTCATATCTTGGAAATGAATAAAAGTTAAAACGGCTTGCCATAGTATTCATATGTAGAGGCATGAAGTTTGTCTTGTGTTAACTAACCACTTATACTATAAAGATAATACCGGCAGGCAAGTAGGAATTCAGTGTGAACATGACCAATTTGTATCATAGCATAATAGTAATATTTGTATTATTTAGTAGTCATTATATAATGACATTAGACCAAAAATGCCACAACTGACCAATCAAAATCAAGTATTCCAGAAAGCTGATACCAAAGTGCTGTTATTATGGAGTATGAGGTGTAGGACAAGAAAAAGGGATTGTACAATGTGAGTATAATGAAGTAGATACAGTCTTGATGGCAATATAAAAACGTAAAATATCTAAATATACACTTAGTGGTCAATCCATAACTTGGTTTGGTTTGGGTTTGGTTTTTTTTACTATAAGAAATAACACTGTAGAAATACGTATAAGGTCCAATAATTAATTAACAGTAGGCTATGTTTTCCGCTAAGTTTATTTCTTTCAACCCTAAAATACAACCAAATGCAGTTTGTATTTTAAAATATGGGTAAAAGTAACCTGTAAAAAAAAATCAATACAGAAAATATTAACACGGTACATTGGGCATTTATTTTTCTGACTTTTTTAGAATGTTGTTCGAACCAAAAGCATCAGAATGGGTGAAGAAATACTGTACGTAATGTGTTTGTATAGTATGAGTATCAATAAAAACATCCAGTGTGGCAATTCTGGAGACTAAAATTCCTTGGAGAGAAGTCAGAGAAGGATAGTCAAACAGGTTTGAGCTGACAGGATGGAAACCGCACTTCTGAATGCACAAAGAAAGCGAAGAGCACAACAGGTTCCACTTCAGTCAGTTAAAGGAGTAGTTCACTTTTGAAAAAACTTTTGCTGATAATTTACTTACCCCCATGTCATCCAAGATGTCCATGTCTTTCTTTCTTCAGTCAAAAAGAAATTAAGATTTTTGATGAAAACATTCCAGGATTTTTCTCCATATATTGGACTTCAATGGGAACCAAATGGTTCAAGGTCCAAAAGACACTCCAAAAACTGTTCAAAGGGCTTTAAACAATTCCAGACGATGAATAAGGGTCTTATCAAGCGAAACGATCGCTCTTTTAATAAATAAATAAAGTTTAATTTTTATAAGCTCAAATGCTCGCTTTGCTCTGTTTTGTGACGCACGTTCGTGTCTCTCCTGTTTGAACTCGTTCATCAAAATAAACGAATCTTTTTCCGAGTTATTTGGTTCATTCACCGAACAAAACGAACGAATTGACTCGGAAAAAGATTCGCTCATTTTGATAAACGAGTTTGAACAGGAGAGTCACAAACGTGCATCACAGTACAGAGCAAGGCGAGCATTTGAGCTTATAAAACTTAAACTTTGATTTTTTTATGAGCGATCGTTTCGCTTGAGAAGAACCTTATTCATCGTCTGGAATCGTTTAAAGCCCTTTGAACAGTTTGCAATTTTCACTGAAACTGTCTTTTGGACCTTGAACCGTTTGGTTCCCATTGAAGTCCATTATATGGAGGAAAATCCTGGAATGTTTTCATCAAAAACCTTAATTTCTTTTCGACTGAGGAAAGAAAGACAGGGACATCTTGGATGACATGGGGGTGAGTAAATTGTCAGTAATTTTTTTTTCAAAAGTGAACTACTCCTTTAATAGTATAACACTAAAAGATTAACTGGTAACTGGCAAACCTCCTAGTGCTGTGCCCACTAAGAGTAATTTCCCTTTAAATCAGCATGAAAACTCACACTAAGTTTACATTTTAAACACTCACTGAAGTGACTCTTTAAATTTATTTCCATTTTCAGGAGACATCAATATGTGAGTAACAATCTTATGCCCTGTGAGTCATAAGTGACGGCCCATGGACACGGACTTCCCTACAGTCTTTTTACCCTTTTAGGGTCAATCTTCTTTAGTATTCTCAAACAATTTTTCCAATTTTAAATATTGATGAAAAACTTTTGGTTTAAGACCAATAATGAATATGCTTCTGCATCTAAATTGTTTTCTAAATCAATATATCATAAATTGGTTACACTTTATTTTAGGTAACTGTAATTACACAAATAAGTATTGTGTAAAATGAATGATGTACTTACTATATGTTAGTTATGTTAGGGTTAGGTTTTGTTTTAAGGTTAGTTGCTTCACTCTAAAAATTGCTGGGTTGTTTTAACCCAACTTTGGGTCAAATATGGACAAACCCAGCCATTGGGTTACATTTTTTAAAGTACATTTTTAGCCCAACGTTTGGGTTTGTCCATAGAAGACCCAGTGTTGGGTTAAAACAACCCAACATTTTTAGAGTGTGTAATTATGCGTAATTTACTGATGTACGTGTAACTAAGTCACCTTTAAGGGTTATAATGGTTTTATCAGCATAAAAATTTCAATTGAACTGCACATGAATTTCTGAGCCTTGGGATTGTTCACAGGATCATTTTAACTATCCATTGTGCTTCAACGAATCTGGACAAAGAGTCACATGATCAGTGTCAGAGATGTACCTATTTTATTAGAAATAGTAGGCTATACAATCGTACATCTTTTTCATTTCCAGATTTAAATTAGATTTTGCATCCCAGATTTTTGACCCCACCCAATGTCTTTGTACAGACAAGCCGACACACGCACACAAAAGAATATCTCTATGTAAGTCATGACTCATGAGAAATAATGTGTAGCCTTATTCCAGAGGAAATAATAAACTGTTCTTAAAACAGACACAGGCTTGTCTGGCAAGAGGAAGGTCTATGCTTTGAGAAGAAACAGTGTATTTGTTACCTTATTAAGTATGAAATTGTTCAGGTAGGGCATGTACCCTTGGGTTGACACTGGTCCTTCATCATCATCTTTAAAGTGCTCCTCCAAGGCTGAAACGTTATGAGGGACTTTCAGTATGGTGCACAGGTTGTGAGACAGCACCTTCAGAGAGACAGACAGCAGTGGTTTCATGTAAAAAGGATTAAAGGGGCTATTTGTAGAATTCAGAAAACCTTGTTATTAGCGACACCAGTGGCCATTAAGTGAATTGCACCTAGTAACTTATTGCTCATGCTAGCATATAGTAATATACACTAGATGTCGCCTTGGCTACGGCAGTTCATTAGAACGAAGGCGTCAATAGAGCCGCCATCTTGAAACAGGGGAACAGCCCCTCCAAAATGTAGACAAAGGTTTCTAATGGAAATAAAATCACCATAAATCATCATGAATGCGATTTTCTCGTTTTTTTGGTTCGTTCTAACGGTCAGACATGTATTTATCATTGATTCCAGAAAAAAAATATATATCGATTTTTTTAAACATTCTTCCTAGTTCAGATTTAATTTGTGTGAACATCATACACAGCACAAAAGTACGCCACCATCAATTAATTCGAAGTAAGAATTAGCATCGTTACCTAGCTACTTCCTATGACAACACCCCTGTTCCAAGATGTCGGCGGTTTGGACACATGCTTAGAACCCCAAGGTGACGTCTAGTATATACGTCTAGCGCGGACCGGGTATTGCATTAAAGTACCATGAGATCTGTCTGTGCAGCGCCTCATCATGTGGAACACACCTAATATGATTCAAGGCCCTGAATCGTTCATCATTTGCTTAGAAGTAAAAAAAAAAATTTGAGACTATTGTTTAAATTAAATTAAAATTAAACTGTTTTAATTATTCTGATTTATTTTGATTATTTTAATTTCTTCTATGTAAAGCACTTTGAATTGCCATTGTGTATGAAATGTGCTATATAAATAAACTTGCCTTGCCTTGCCTTGCCTAAATTATTACATTTTCTTTGCATGACACATTGACATTATAGTAAAGAGTAGCATTCGGCATTACCCTGAACATTAAGCATTCGTTTCACGTGTCATTGAATGGAAGAGTGGGAGTGCGTGTAAAATGACATTACAATTTTTGCAAAAAAAAAAAGACTTTGCACACCGGACGAGAAACGCAGCGCCACATCAAGACAACTCTAGGTATGGCACACCGGGCGCGCACATTCTAATCGCGCGAGCTCAATTTTTAATCAACTCCTGGTAGAAGAGTCGCACGATGTGTGAGTTTTTACTTGATTTATTATTTATTTGTTTATGTTGATTGAATAATAGCTAATGTTTGAACGTTAATCAAGTAAAAGTGTCTATCACGTTAAGTCTTTTATTTTGTTGTAATGTTACCCGTTGTCTAGGCAACTATGTCACAAAATACAATAATATTTATTTAGCTAGTGTTTAGCTAACCCAAGGGAAAACAGCACAGGGTGAAGCCATGTACATTAACGACGATTTGAGACAAATGTAAACTTTATATAAAACTATGCAAATTGTGCTCTGTAGCGCGGCAGAGTTTTGAACAAGGTCCTGACCCGCTGACAGACGCCGAATGGCGCTGCAGGTGTGTGTACACTCATAGAGAATAATATGTTCGAATTTTAAAGTCATGGCGCTGCGCGACACGCTGCGCTTCTTGTCCGGTGTGCGACCCCTATTAGACAACCCAGGAAGTGGGAAAAGGGGAAACAAGCTGTTCACATGTTGACTACTTGAAAATTCCAACGCATTCTCATCCTTTAACGTCATATAGAACGCTATATGACAAAACGGCGCTATACCACGCACATGGCACCCGTTATCGTTAATATAACACGTGCTGTGAGGGCTAAGTTTAGGTGTGGGGTAGGGTGTGCGTGTCATATTCACGCTAAAGGATTTATAACGTCTTGGGTTGGCGTGTTATATTAACGATAAAGGGTGCCATGTGCGTAGTATAGCGCCGTTTTTGCATATAGCGTTCTATATGACGTTAAAGGATGAGAACGGGCTGAAAATTCTTACATATAGACCCTTTAAACGAGGTCACAAGTTTAGATTAAATTTATGCTTATTTACACTTAACTTATTTTAACTAAAATGTACTTATTGGAATTTGTTTTGGACGTCCGTAAATTGTGCCAATGTGTACATTTATTCAAAAAATAAATCAGTCAATATGTTTTAACCTGAGCGGATAGTATAGAAAAAGCATCTGCAAGTGTCCACCAGATGTGCAGAGCTGGAATCTACAGGATGGTGATTTGAAGAAACTCAAATAGGCTATTTGACAGTTCTGCTTTATTTAGTCAATACTGGTTTGATTTGATTGTTGATCTAATACAGAAAAACAAAGAATGCATAGAAAATTTTGTTGAAGTTGATGAAACATCCAGATGATAAAGATAAAGTCCGTCTCTCTCCACTTCAGTGCACATATAACTTATCTGCATAACGTTACACCCGAAAGTCTTGCTAGACCGATCAAGCGTTATTCAAAAAATTAGTAAACAAATGAATTCTGTCACTCTCTTTCTCTTTCATAACAGTATACTCTGCAAGTATCTTGACAAAAATAGGCCTGATGTTAATGCAACTGCCAGTAGTGTTGAAAATGGGTATTGAAACGGAATAATCTTACTGGTTAGAGTAAAGAATAGCTCAGAGAAATTCTCTACCAGATGTGAAATTGATTTTTTACTTTATTTTAATTTATAAGGTCTGTTTCAATAGCCTAAATAAGTAGAAGACTCAGTTGAAACAACTCGTATGAGTAGCCTAGGCTAAATCCACTGAATGGACAGTTTTAGAGGATACACGACTGTCTCGATACACGGAAACTAACAGGTGCGCTCGCTGTGTGATCTAGTTTTTAAAAGGATTGCTTACCTTTAACTGGGATTTGGATACTTTCCCGTTTCGGTCTACATCCAGAGCAGTGAAGGCGTACCATATGGTTTTCAGTATTTCGTCCCGGGATATCATTCTAACTTCAGTGAAAGATGTCAGAGCGCGACAGCGCGTGTAAAACTAATCCTCTTCACTCAGTCAGGCAGCGCAACATCACAGCCCGAGTCACGTGACCAACACAGCTTTACATCTCATATTTTACATAGGCTACAATTAAAACTGTAATCTAAACAGAACCGAAATTATGTGTTCTTTGTTTTTTATAACTCACCGAGGGTTTTTAATTTTTTTAATTTTTTTATTTTTTTACTCATTACTTATTCATTACTCATTACTAGTCAAATGTAAATAACAGGAAATATTATAAAAAGAAAAACCCTCTCCATGTGTGCTGATTATTCATTATTTCAGTCGAACCTTTGGTCCCACTTTATTTAAAGTGGCTTAACTAGGCCTACTATGTACTAGCATTTCAATTAATCATTTGATACAATGCACAATAATTATTATTATACAATTATTGTGTACGTTTTTATAGTGTAAACTACTTATATTTGTAAAAATAAATAAATAAATAAATAAAAAATCATGCATGTAATTAATTTCTATAATTACAACTTATTCCATCCAAACCACTAAACCTGCATGTCCTACCCGTATCCCACCTCAACTGCAGTAAAAATTGTTTTGCAATACAATATGAACACAATAAGTATATGGACATCTACTATAAAGTGTGACTGAACCTTGAAATTAATTTCTATCTATCCATACATGCAAGACCATCAACTTGAACTTATGTTAAGTTCCTTTGTGATATATTGTAAATCAAAAAAAAAATTGTATTTTTCATAATGAAACATGGTCGATAAGTGAAACTTTGCCAGGCCCAGATAGCACATGTCTCCAAGATGTCTGTTAAAGAGCAGTTCATCTGGAAAACAATACTGACAACATCTGATAAACATCTTTAAAAAAGTCAGTTTCATAAACATCTGGAGCAACTAGGGGTTAAGTGTCTAGCTCAGGGACACATTGGTGTCTTGCAGTGAATTCAAACCCAGGTCTCGCACACTAAAGGCATGTGTCTTGTCCACTGCGCCATCACCACGCCATAGTTAACATCTGACAGGAAACATCTTAGAGACATTTGAGCAAACATTCTAAAAAATACATCTAGCAAATGTAAATGCAGACGTCTCCTTGATGGCCTATATGTGCTATGAGAGTGCGAAATTTTATGGCAACCGAATTGTTTGCAAAACTTGCAATACCTAGTGTGTGTGTGGAAAAAAATAAATGTGTAGACTACTTTATCCAAGGAAAATACTTATTAAAATATTTTTTAGGAATGCACTGCTGAATCATCTCATCTCCCCACAGCAAAACGAGCTATTTAAAAACTGCAACTTACAACAAATAAAAAGTTAATTAAGTCTTACAGTGCTCTGTATTCACTGTATCTTTAAAAGGGAATTAAAGAAGTGTCAGATGTTATCAATTGTATCAAGCAATTGTAGTTTCAAATATCTAAAAACACTTTCCTGGATTGTCCTCACCACATTCACGGGCAGAAAATGCCACAGCAATAGTTCATGCTGGGGAAACACTACTTCTACTTATAGCCCTGAAAAACAGGTCTTGTAAATAATCCATACGAGAAACAACCCCAGGAATGAAGTCAGAAGAGTACGAGGAGGAAGTGTTTCACAAAAAGACTTTCAAGTGTTAAGAATCCGCTGATAGTCTTTTGGCCTGAAGTCATCTAACAAACAAGTTCTACAGACTGCATTGCTTTCCAGTGATTTCATTTTCAAAATCTTCAGACTGCAATATAATTTCAATCACACAGGTCATTTCTTAAACATGTTTCTTCTAGATCAACAAGCTATTTTTTGCTCATGTATTTTCATTTTGTTTGTAATAACTGCAAGTAAATTGTATAGTAAACAAAAGCTGTGAACATGAATATTTCTTGTGTTTCGTCACACACACACACATATATATTTTTTTGCTGTTTATATTTATGAATGTAAGGCTGTATCTTGTTTAAAAAAAATCACTTGAATTAGGATTAAAAGATGATGTATATAATTTTTGGCAAAAATCTGAAACAAATTTTGAAATGATTTTATCATCTGATTTAAGAGTGTTATCAATATACAAAGAGGATTTTTTTTTTAGTTTAGCTTGTTTTTGGGGGTTTTTTTTCAAATTGAAAAAGTAGCAGAGTATTTTTTGCCGGCTTCTAAGCCATTTGGCTCTAGATCTAATGAAGGCCCCTTTAGCCTTTTCTATATAAAAGGAGTCTAATTTTTCTCTTAACCCTAGTCACACATGGGACCTTCACGGTCATAAGTGACCGGACCCCTAAAAAATAATAAAAAAAAATTTCAGTAAAACCAATGAAACAAATTTTTGTTCTATAATATTTTTTCTTTTTTTTTCATTGGTGTTTTGAGAGAATTCTATGAATATAATTAATATTTATGCAATAATTATGATAATTTTTTTCCCATTGATGATAATATCATTTTTATATATGATTTTTATTATTTTTTTAATTAATGCTGTATTTTAGGTTAAAGTATAGGCTCTTAGAGAAATTTGTTTTCAAGCAGACTAGCGCTACCTGTTGGAAGTAGTGAGCATATTTATCAAGCAATGTCATATTTTAACCACTACTGTAGATATACAGCTTTCTGTGGATTGTAGATTGTAGTTGTTTATTAATTTACTATTCTTTTTTTTCAGGTTGTGGTAAAGAGATTCTCAAAGACTATTTCTGTCAAGATTTTTGTTTGTTTGGTTGATTTAAAAGGTAATTAATTGTAATTTGTTGTTTTAAATTGTTACTTTATAATACAGTCAAACCTGAACATTGCATTATAAAGAGAGCAAATAGAAAGCATTTCGCTACCCATTGTTTTACTTCTTACTTAATAAAAATGCAATTCTTTCAGTCATACATTTTTATTAACCCTTTATAATAAACATTTTAAACAAAAAAAATCTCAAGTTGACATACTCTCATCTACACAGAATAATGGCTGCACTGTCATGCAATAAGCACTGTACTGTACTAATTTAACCACACAAACACTTGGATATGTGCCTAATAATAGCGCACATTGAGCGAGCGGCCATGTAAAGTGGCAAACGTTGGGCTACTTGCATGTTTCAAATGATAAGCCATGTTTGAGGTCAATGTATTTGTTTTGATTTCCTGCCCGACATAATTACTACGTGGACCAGCCGTGTTAATGATCTGTCTGTCAAAGACTGTGTGAATTTTTTTTCTTGTAATTAAGGGAATAAACAAAATTTGGTTGCTTAAGCCTCTTCTCGTCAACCAACATTTTCTTGAATATTAGGGGACAGCCCTACGAAAGAGTATCACAAACTATCATTACTAATAAGGTAATCTATGATAAAAACATCATAAAGCATTAAAAATTCAAAAAAAGGTATGAAGTGATTCTCAGATAGTTTAATGTAAGCATCTAGAATTTTCCAAATAAATCTAGTTCGCCATCGATAAATCGCTGTAGGCGATCTTTAAATACAATGTTCATCAACCCGCATCAAATGTTGGAAGCATGTCTAGTTTCCACCTCTGGAGAATCCATGTTTTTGCTAGAACCGTACATAAAGAGATAAACAGGCATTAACCCCTAAATTGGCCAACAAAAGCTCGGGCTGAAATATGAGTCCAATACGTGTGAATTTTACAGCATGTCAAAACAAATGAATCAGAGTACTTTCTGCAGATTTGCATTTATTGTATTCAAGAGTTACGTAGTTCATCCAAATATGAAAATGGTCAAGCCCATAAAACTTTTGTCCATTTTTGAAACACACATGAAGATGTGACCATGCTGCTCTAACATGGGCCTTCAGTAGTCCCAAAAACCTCCTCTCAATTGATCCGGTGGACTCCGGCGGTTCAACTTCCAAGTGCATCACTGGAAAGGATGTCTCAAACTAGATCCCATTGAGAACTTCTCCTTGAAGTTCTAACCTTGTGACAAGCCATCCTTTTTCCAGAGGGTCTTCTTGGGCATATACAGGTTGGGTCTGCCTGAATAGTAAAGAAAAAATTTGACTAAGTATTCATTAGCATGCAAGAAATTATTTAATGCTATTGATTCACAATTGTGGATCCATTACATGATGCTTTGTAAGACCTTGACTCATTGAAGTCGAAAGTTTGAGACCCACATTACAGCTCTGAGGAATAATACATACCAGCAAAGGATGTGTATCCCGCATCGGTCAGGATTTTGCCAGAAGCTGGATGATGTGGGGAACCCTGGGGCCTTTGTTGGGGAACCCAGGGGCTGATCTCCTGTGGAACGGGTTCAGGATTACTCTCCTAGAAGAAAGACAATTCTTATGATCTTACATGGAGAAAAGATGTAGAACACTAGTAAACTACAGACAATAGCAGTTTGTCCATTGAAAAATTGAAACATAGTACTCACAAGGTCCAAATCCAATCTATACCCACGTTATTTCAGCAAATTTCAGCGCCACCTAATCAACAAAACAAAAAATGGATTTGTGTTAGAATTATTTACAATGTGAGTGCTGTTTTTATTTCAAGTCATTATTCTTGAATAGACATGTTCATGAATTTAAATTCTAAGCATGTAGAGCATGTCTAACAATTTAAACAGATTTGCCCTAAGTAGTGAACATAAGATATACTAAGGAGAATGAGACAAGTGTAATACCTTAAGGTCATCTCTCAAGCAAATCCCAGCATAAATGCTTCCAAAGCCTCCTTCACTTCATCCTGCCGACTTCATAGCTGCAGAAACTGATGTCTTTTAAAAGAAAAATAAGAAGAGTTGACATGAGTAAAGACAGATAATAATAACACAACACAAGTCAGCATTGGAGTCATGACAGTCATTTTACCAATAATCGAATACAGTGATACAGTGGGGGACGTTAACACTTATGGGGGACGTTAACACTACAGTCTATAGCAAAACAAGTGTGTCATTGTAGACTACCATGTAAACATTGCAATGTCAGTAAACTTAATAAAAATCTGTTAAGTTACGAAATGTTTTGACAGTCATAATTACACCTATTGTGATGCAAGTTGCTGTTTTTTAACATCCCCCCCCCAATCCATCCATTTCTATAGTGCAATTAAAATATTGTGATAATATCATTTACCTTGATGCTTTTAAAGTTTAAAGCTCCATCAGTCAATCGCAGCCTGAAAATCTGATACCGGCACTGGCCTACACTGACTGGAATTTGAGGGACATCAATGCAACAGTCATCCTCATCACAGTGAGTTGATGTGGTGCTCACTGGGTCTTGGGGGACGTCCACACTGGAGTCTGCCACATCTCGGACTGGAGCTGCTGTGGTGCTCACTGGGATGTGCGGCCTGAAAATTTGATACCGGCACTGGCCTACACAGACTGGAATTTGAGGGACATCAATGCAACAGTCATCCTCGTCACAGTGAGTTGATGTGGTGCTCACTGGGTCTTGGGGGACGTCCACACTGGAGTCTGCCACATCTCGGACTGGAGCTGCTGTGGTGCTCACTGGGATGTGCGGCCTGAAAATTTGATACCGGCACTGGCCTACACAGACTGGAATTTGAGGGACATCAATGAAGCAGTCATCCTCGTCACAGTGAGTTGATGTGGTGCTCACTGGGTCTTGGGGAACGTCCACACTGGAGTCTGCCACATCTCGGACTGGAGCTGCTGTGGTGCTCACTGGGATGTTCGGCCTGAAAATTTGATACCGGCACCGGCCTACACAGACTGGAATTTGAGGGACATCAATGGAGCAGTCATCCTCATCACAGTGAGTTGATGTGGTGCTCACTGGGTCTTGGGGGACGTCCACACTGGAGTCTGCCACATCTCGGACTGGAGCTGCTGTGGTGCTCACTGGGATGTTCGGCCTGAAAATTTGATACCGGCACTGGCCTACACAGACTGGAATTTGAGGGACATCAATGAAGCAGTCATCCTCGTCACAGTGAGTTGATGTGGTGCTCACTGGGTCTTGGGGGACGTCCACACTGGAGTCTGCCACATCTCGGACTGGAGCTGCTGTGGTGCTCACTGGGTCTTGGGGGACGTCCACACTGGAGTCTGCCACATCTCGGACTGGAGCTGCTGTGGTGCTCACTGGGATGTTCGGCCTGAAAATTTGATATAGGCACTGGCCTACACAGACTGGAATTTGAGGGACATCAATGAAGCAGTCATCCTCGTCACAGTGAGTTGATGTGGTGCTCACTGGGTCTTGGGGGACGTCCACACTGGAGTCTGCCACATCTCGGACTGGAGCTGCTGTGGTGCTCACTGGGATGTTCGGCCTGAAAATTTGATACCGGCACCGGCCTACACAGACTGGAATTTGAGGGACATCAATGGAGCAGTCATCCTCGTCACAGTGAGTTGATGTGGTGCTCACTGGGTCTTGGGGGACGTCCACACTGGAGTCTGCCACATCTCGGACTGGAGCTGCTGTGGTGCTCACTGGGATGTTCGGCCTGAAAATTTGATACCGGCACTGGCCTACACAGACTGGAATTTGAGGGACATCAATGAAGCAGTCATCCTCGTCACAGTGAGTTGATGTGGTGCTCACTGGGTCTTGGGGAACGTCCACACTGGAGTCTGCCACATCTCGGACTGGAGCTGCTGTGGTGCTCACTGGGATGTTCGGCCTGAAAATTTGATACCGGCACCGGCCTACACAGACTGGAATTTGAGGGACATCAATGGAGCAGTCATCCTCATCACAGTGAGTTGATGTGGTGCTCACTGGGTCTTGGGGGACGTCCACACTGGAGTCTGCCACATCTCGGACTGGAGCTGCTGTGGTGCTCACTGGGATGTTCGGCCTGAAAATTTGATACCGGCACCGGCCTACACAGACTGGAATTTGAGGGACATCAATGGAGCAGTCATCCTCGTCACAGTGAGTTGATGTGGTGCTCACTGGGTCTTGGGGGACGTCCACACTGGAGTCTGCCACATCTCGGACTGGAGCTGCTGTGGTGCTCACTGGGATGTTCGGCCTGAAAATTTGATACCGGCACCGGCCTACACAGACTGGAATTTGAGGGACATCAATGGAGCAGTCATCCTCGTCACAGTGAGTTGATGTGGTGCTCACTGGGTCTTGGGGGACGTCCACACTGGAGTCTGCCACATCTCGGACTGGAGCTGCTGTGGTGCTCACTGGGATGTTCGGCCTGAAAATTTGATACCGGCACCGGCCTACACAGACTGGAATTTGAGGGACATCAATGGAGCAGTCATCCTCGTCACAGTGAGTTGATGTGGTGCTCACTGGGTCTTGGGGGACGTCCACACTGGAGTCTGCCTCATCTCGAACTGGAGCTGCTGTGGTGCTCACTGGGATGTGCGGCCTGAACATCTGATATCGGCACCGGCCTACACAGACTGGAATTTGAGGGACATCAATGCAACAGTCAGCCTCGTCACAGTGAGTTGATGTGGTGCTCACTGGGTCTTGGCCGACGTCCACACTGGAGTCTGCCACATCTCGGACTGGATCTCTATAGTCAGATGTGGCACAGACTGTAGCTGGGAGGAAGTCAACACTCGAGACACAGCTCAAAGAGTTGACACCCCATTCTGACGAATCTCCCACTAAGTCCTGGAAGCCATCATCGACTTTAGCATGACCAGGTTCCTCTGCAACGCTGAGGACTACAGCCTGACTGGTACTGCGAATAAGCTGAGAAGTCTGATCTAAAGGGGGAAATGATATAAACAAAAGATGGTTTTAATGAAATAATATTAATAAAAGATTGCATAACTGTATTCATTACTAGACACTAATATTGCTGCAACTAATTGTAAATTATGAAGCCAGTTTTTGGGTGCATTCACAAAGGTCTAATTCGCGCATTCTGCTTCCTCATCTGTCGGTCAGTGAGCACAGGCAAGAATGTTCTGTTCTCTGCTGAAGTGTCAAATTAAAAATAGTTCAAATTTCAAAACATACACCAAGACCCATGCATTAACTTTCATTTAGTTGTGTGTGTGTGTGTGTGTGTGTGTGTGTAAATTATTAATTGGGCAATCCAGATGTTTCTGGTAACCCTTTAGATAACCATACATGCAAATGTACAGTAGAATTCATTAATTTGCCACCTGATTAGCACAATATCTTCATTTTCAGACAATGAATTTGGCCTACTGGGCAAACGTCATGCGGCATAATTATAATTGGTACGCAAATTTTTACATTCAATACAATTTGTGGTAATACATTTGAATGTCTGTTTAAATGCATTCACGCATCTGTCATCAAAGGTGTGTAGTGTCCATTATATGTCAAGTATATTATGTTACTGAATTCTCTTGTTAAATTTTTCAATTAATGGTTAACCATTATTATTATTTATAAGACTTTAAAAACAGAACTTCATATATTCTACATATACCAATTACATTGACATGTCTGGTCCTCTTTGTTACCTTGGCTTGAGCTGGTCTTGATGGTTTTTGACTTCCTCTTGCGTCTCTCTTTTTTGTGTAAATTCTCCACACTGTCAGAAACATCAACACACTTAACACAAGAAAAGTTTGCTTCCATTTAGCTAAATAACTAATGCTAAATATGCCAGTAGAGACGCTGCAATACACTGCAATACGCTGCAATACGCTGCAATAAATGCCAGTAGAAAATTGTCATCAAAGTAATGAAGAGAATGTGAGAAATTTTGCTTCAGTTGACCACAGACAGTAGGGTTGACCAGTACTCGACTGTGACGTCACGTCACGTTCTATAGTGCATTCCAGAGGCTGCATTCCAGAGTGACGACATTCCATCGTAAAAATAATTTTGAAATTTTTCAAAAATAATGAAATACACAATTAAATACGTTTAATTAAATACACAGATTTATTTGGATTCAATGTAAACTCTTTTTAATAATGATGTCTAGCCTGAAAAGAGAGAGACATATTATTGTATACAGCAGCAGCACCACCATTAATAACTAAAAGATCGTGATCTCGATTCAAACAAACACACAATCTTACCTTAATCCGTGCCTGGCTCACACTACAGGAGTTTTAGGCCGATTTATGCCCGATTTCCCCCTCACGAGAATCGGAGAAAAAATCTTGTTGATTAAGATTACCTCAATGTTCGGCGCAGATTATATGGTAATGAGGCTTTCATAAGGGCAACGATTACAGCGCGAACTCTTGGTTAATTAAACCAACCATTGCTTCCGGGAATAACATCAGCCAACCTAGTTCACGGTTAACTCACGAGAACTTAAAGCGCGCTGTTTTACTCCTTTATTCTTCTTTTGTTTTGGCGATTTAGGCTACTTGGTAAATATATCGCCACCTTTGGTGGTTTTGCCATTTTTCAATCTTTTTGTTTAATAATCTTTAATCACTGTGAATAAGATGTTGTTTGTGTGATGCTAATTATAGAATAAAAAGAAAGACCGATTAAACTGTGCTTGCAAAAAAAACAAAACTTCAAATCAGTGGAAAATAGTCTAACATTTGGTACAGTGGATATACATTTTGCTTTATGTATATGATATTTTCCAAATAGAAATGAGAAGTTTAATTATATTATTCATTTCCAATAAATCATATATTCATTTCCATTACCTCAGTTATTGTGTCACTTTTATAAAATAACTCAAAAAGAAACTTGGGACCAAAATAAGTTAGGATAATTACAACTAAAAAATAAGTGTATTAATGTTTCATTTTCTTCATTACAGAAACTGCATAGTGGTGAAAACCCTTCTTTAAATTTACTAAGTCATTACAAGGATAGTGTTTATTATTTTAAAGTGAGTTTCTTTAACTTTATTAGGGAGTACATATTTATTTATATCAGACCACAAATTTTTAAAAACAAGAAAGTGGTAATTCTGCTTCACCATTGCCTTAGGTGAAGAACTTTCTTTGGTTAAAATTTTTCTGATATACTGTATATATTATAATTTTTTTTTTAATCTCTAATAGAAAGGCCCCCAACAGTCAGACTAGGAAGAAAACTTTATAAGATAAAGTAGTTTCGGGGAGATACAACGAATAAGTTTAAAGTATTCTTTAGAAGATAGGCTACATTTGTCCCATAATTAATAAATTCATTATAATTAAGTAGGTCACCTGATTGATTCATCAAATCTTTAATAAAAATTAAACCTTTGTTAAATCAGTCGTTCCAAAAAAATGGTTTTGTTTTTGAACAGTACATATCATTTATTCCAAATAACACAGGAATGGGGAGAGAAATTGTGTTTGTAAACTAATTTCCACGCATTCAAAGCTTGTTTATGAAAGTTGGACAACTTAATTGGGAGTTTAAAATCACAAGCAAGTAGAAAATTAAGACCACCACATTTTTTGAAGATTAAATCAGGATGAAAAACCATGGAAGGCTATTATCACAAAGACAATGTTTGATCCAATTAATTTTAAACATATTATTGATAGTGTCAAAGTCTAAAGCATTTAGTCATTCTTCTGATACACTTCTAATTATGGTTTTCCTTTTAATATATTCTGTTTTACCTATCAAATCTGCATAAAGAGATAACGCTCGATATACAAAGATGCCTTCAGCCTTTGATATCAACACTCGACCTTGAATAGATCAATTTCTTTGGAGCCAACAGTTAGAAATATTTCTTGTTTTTTGTAATCTTTTCAAAAAAAATTCATCTCATCAGCATCTCATTTACTAATTACAATACCCAAGTATCTGATACCAGATATATTTGAGTCTTCAAGCTATACAGCCATAATCTCACTCTTAGCCTGATTCACAGTTACAGTTAAACCTGAGGCATCAGAGAATAATTTAAGTGCCTCCAAAATAACAAGGACCTGATCTTTCTTTTTCATAAATAAACAAGTGTCACCAGCAAGTTGACTAATAGTTAAAGTGAAATCTCCTATCTCACCTTTGATTTGAGAGCAATGCAGAGTAAAGATTCAAGGTTTCGGCTACTAATAAAAATAAAAATGGGGAAATATAGGACATCCCTGTCTAATTCCTCTTCGGATACCAAAACGAGCAGATAAAGAAAAACTATATTTTTGTAAAGTGTGTGCATCATATTTGTAAAATTTGGGCCAAAACCAAAATAATTAAGAGCTTGATACATGAAATTGTGCTCTACTGTATCAAAAGCCTTGCAAAAATCTAAAAACAAATAAGAGCTTTCCTCATTAACCAAATCTGAATCATCTAAAAGGTCTAAGTTCAGACTAATATTGTTTGAAATACTTCTTCCTTTCATAAATCCAGACTGTGTGACAGATATTATTTCCTCCAAGCATGGCTTTAACCTATTGGCGTATAGAGATGCTATTTGTAGTCCGAGTTGAGCAGTGTGACTGGGCGCCAGTTATCTAAATGCAAAACGTCTTTATTTGGTTTTGGAACTAGTGTTCTTACTCCCTGTTTGTAAGTTCTCCATTTGCTGCACATTCATTGAACACATTCAAAATAAACTCTCTAATTTCTTCCCAAAAACATCTGTAAAACTCAAAAGGTAAACCATCGGGTCCTGGGCTTTTGTTAAATGGTGTTTTTTTTTATTATATCATCTAATTCTTTCAATGACATCTCCTCTTCACAAAGGTTCAGAGATGTTCACAAGTCATTTTTTGGAAGTCCAAGTCAAGTCTCAAGTCTTTGAGGGGCAAGCTCAAGTCAAGTCTCAAGTCTTTTGCCACGAGTCCAAGTCAAGTCTCAAGTCCTAAATTATTAGGCATTGTCTAATTAAATATGTGTGAATTTGCATATATTTAAAAAAAAAAAACGAAATCTAAGTAGCCTATTAGATAAAGCCAGGTTTAAAATACTTTTTTTTCATTGTGTTCATACAGTAATAGACGGGGGAAAAATAGATATTTATGGATATCTACTTTTGTTATCCTGTAATCAGATAGCCTTAAATAGATTTTCGCCATGTTTTTAGAAAAACAATGTTATATAAAGCAAGCTAGGAATAATATATTTACAAATCCATCTGTAATAGTCTTCATAATAAACTAGGTACATGACTGGACAGTTTGGTGTATTAGGTTTGGTATAAAGGTGCTACTGAAGTGGAAATTTCAGACTTGGAGTTTGGGAGAAAAGTCATTTGAGAAACCGCAAAACGGGATCTAAAGATTTCCATCAAGCCAATGAGATCGCTCATTTAGAGTTAAATCCCCCCCTTTTACTTTCGCGATTGGTTGCTGATTAAAAGGAAATGACCATATTTGGATCCGACAACATTGAACTGGAGAGAGGGAGATATATATATATATATATATGAGACAACTAGTAAAAATGCTTGTTTTACATGTTCTAATTTACTACAAAATAGTTTATTATTACTGTACATATTATCAACATAACACTTGGATAACACATTTCCATATGAAAAATGTATTATTTGCATTAGGTATGTTGCTTTAATGGCAAAATGGCACACACAAACCTTGAGCTCTTCAAGGAAAGAAAGAACATTTGGAGTCAAATCAATGTCATAAATGATAAATCATCACGACACACTAAACATTCAATTCATCTCTTTTTATTTAAAAAATGCAAACAGGTTTCCGCCTTTTAGATATCTATATCAATGTGAACAAAATCTGTTAAAAATGTTTTCATAGTGCACAGTGTAACCTCTGTACAATTGCGGTGAAAGGGTAATTACAAAAGTTGGAATCACTAGTTACACTGAATACTGAAGGTGATGGTAGTTAATTGGCCAGTCCTGTTGTTTCTTCTCCCTGTAATGATGATGCTATCCTCAGAGCCTCTTCCAGTGAAGTCTGTTCGTTGAGCTACAAGACAGAATCCAACACCTATGTTCAATAACATATCAATATTCCCAGCCATACAGTTAAGATAAAGGTCAAAACTAGCATTGCAAAAATAAAAGCGAGTGAAATCATCTAAACTAGGCCAGACTTGAGGCTGGAACCAACAACCAAATCTTTCAGACTCAATTTGTTTCCTTCAGCTCAACTGTCATGGAATTGAATGGAGAGTGGGAAATCATAGTGTGACATACACCAATGAGCCAAAACAGTATGACCACCTGTTGGTGCTGCCAGAACATCGCTGACAAACCTTTAATATGGACTCTACAAGAGCCCTGAAGATGTCCTGTGGTCTCCGACATCAAGAAGTCAGAAGAAGATCCTTCAAGTTCTGAGGTTGCGAGGTGGATCCGCTGTGGATCGAAATTGTTGGTCTAGCAGATCTCACAGATGCTCAATTGGGATTTGGGCAACATCTTGAACTCTTCATCATGTTCCTTAAACCATTCCTGAACAATGTGTGCAGTGTGGCAGTGTGCGTTATCCTGCTGAAAGAGGCCACTTGTGTTGTGACACAGTCCTCCCATTACCATCATTAAAAATGAGTGTGACTTGTGCCACAGTAGACCTTCTGTCGACTCGGACCTTTGTGCATCTTGAGCGCCCAAAACCCTCTCGCCGGTTTCTGGTTTGTCTTTCCTCGGATCACTGTTGGTAAATTTGCCATTTCAGAGATACTCTGACGAGTCACAATTTGGGCCTTGTCAAAGTCGCTCAGACCTTTTCTCCTGCATCC